TGTCTTTTCCTATCAGATGAGTCTCCTTTAGGCAGCATATTGTTGGGTCTTTTTTAAAAATCCAATCTGCTAGCCTATGTCTTTTGATTGGTGAGTTTAAGCCATTAATATTTAGGGTTACTATTGAGACATGGTTTGTATTTCCAGCCATATTTGTTTATTTTTGTTATTTAACTTGACTTTGATTAGTTTTTCCTTTAGTGTACTACCTCCCTCTGCTGGTTTTCATTGTTGTTTTTCATTTCCTCTTCATGAGATATTTTTCCAAGGATGTTTTGTAGTGCTGGTTTTCTAGCTATAAATTATTTTAACTTTTGTTTATTGTGGAAGGTTTTTATTTCATTTTTAAATATGAAGCTTAATTTTGCTGGCTACAAGATACTTGGTTGGCACCCATTAGCTTTCAGAGCTTGATATATGTTTTTCCAGGATCTTCTAGGTTTTAGGGTCTGTGTTGAAAAATCAGCCATTATCCTAATTGTTTTACCCCTCTATGTAATCTGATTCCGTTCTCTTGTGGCTTTTAAAATTATCTTCTTATTCTATATGTTGGGCATTTTCATTATTATGTGTCTTGGTGTATATCTTTTGTGATTTTGCACATTCAGCGTCCTGTAGACTTCTTGGATTTGGATTTCCAATTCATTCTTCATGTTTGGAAAGTTTTCCTATATTATTTCATTGAACAGTTTGCTCATTCCTTTGATTTGGGCCTCTATGCCTTCCTCTATCCCAATAACTCTTAAATTTGGTCTTTTTATGCTATCCCATATTTCTTGGATGTTCTGCTTGTGGTTTCTTATCATTTTCACTGTGCTATCTATGTTCTTTGCAAGATGATATGTTTTATCTTCATTGTCTGAGGTCCTATCATTTAAGTGGTCTACTCTGTTGGTGATGCTCTCGTTCAAGTTTTTAATTTAGTTTATTATTTCTTTCATTTCAAGGATTTATGGGTTTTTTTTTAGAACCTCTATCTCCCTGTTGAGGTGATCTTTTATTTCTTAGATTTGTTTATGTAGCTCATTGACGAAGTTGTCTTTCACTGCTTGTATTTGTTTTCTTATGTCTTCTTTGAGTTCAAGAGCACTTTACCCATGTATATCCTGAAATCTTTTTCTGTAGTTTTTTCTGGTGTAGCTGCCAATGATTCTAATGAATATTGTCTTGATTTGTTTGTGGTACTTTCTTCCCTTATCTTTTCATGTTGCTTGTGTGTCTTCCTTTCCAGCTCTGTGGATCTGGTGTGCTATTGTTTTTATCCTGTAGATTTGTAGTGCTCTTGTAGTGTTCCAAGATCCCTCCTTTGTGAGGAAGGACAATGTTAACAGATCCCAATATCAACAATACATCACCTATGAACAAATTGTTATTAAGACATTTATAGTTAGTCTCAATGCCCAGAAATGTTGGATTCAATTATTATTTAAAATATAATCAGTAGTTTCATGAAAGGTGTACAGTTTCTGGTGGCGGACAGTGAGCTGGAGGTCGCGTGTAGGACGATATGCTAAGAGGGAAAGATGTGAGGGTATGGGGTTAATATAACTTAGGAAATTTGGAGGAGAAGTCTAATGAAGAGAGTAAGTAGCAGGGGAATAAACAGGAGATAATTTAGGGTAGAAAGTACGTGAGACGACAGTAGAGTACATAAAACAAACACACATATGTATTTAGAAAATTACAGGATATAAAAATGTTAAAATTTGGAGGTTAAAAGAGGAACAAAGAGAAGGAAAAAGGGGAAAGAAAGAAAGAAAAAATTAAAAAGGGGTGGGGCTTATGCAATTCCTCTATATTATATTATTCAGGTGACTCAGTTCTCAAAGTTCTGTTTCATGCAAAATTCTTGGTCTCACTTATGTTGGGATTGTGAGGGCCAGAGGATAGAATGGTAGAGGAGAAAGAAAAACTATAAGAAGGAAAAAAAAATACTCTTAGAATTACATTTGTTTCCTGCTTCTCTTCTCTTCCAGTAGGTGGAGTTGTCTATTTTAAGCTTGAGTGTCTGCCCTCAGGGTGGTGTAGGTAACCAGGGTGAGAAGATTTGTGCCCCTGGTGTCATATCCCTCTCTTGCCTTGAGCTTCCCCCGATCCTGGTCTCTCTGTTTTGCTCCAGGTTTAGACCCCTCCCCTCTCTTGCCTATCAGGTCCCAACTGCAGGACCTCTTGCCCTCAGGCTCACACCAGGTGGGCTGCTTCCTGGTTGCACTGCACTCCTGTTCAACTGAGAGCGGTTTTTGTGCTGTGCAGTCACTGTGCCAAGTTATTGCAGCAATTTGAAGTTCAAATTGATTCAGTACCTTACCTGAGGGCACATAGGAATTTGGGGAGTAGGGCCTCAAGCTAGCATTTGCCTGATTTCAATGTATATAATCTCAACACCTATGACATGTGACCTACTCTCCACATCCTTCTATTAGCTCCTATTGACCAATGTAAGTTTCGCTTCTGATTTTGGTGACTGTTGCTGTCACATAAACCATGGAATATGTTCTAAAATGAACCTAAGACATCCCTATTTCAGTAATAACAACCTGTGCACCATCTATAATAGCCATCTGTAGCACTAAATCTTACTTCCAGCTGCTACCCCCAGTCTAACTCTTTTGCTTTTCCATTATATCTGCTACTTGCTCTCAATGAAACAAATCATAACTGGTAGTGTGGGAACCTGACATCAAAAACATAAAACTTCTAATTGGTGGAAGATATTAAAAACCAAAGGACTTTACATATATGTTCCAAGCAATAAGAATGATTTAACTTGGGAGAAGAATGAAATATCTTGTGAATGGATCAATAAAAGGTCACTTTATTCAATTAAAAAATGAAAGAATAATAGCATATTGGGAGATTGTGTGGAATTATTTGCAAAATAGTGGCAAAGGATTAATATCCACATTATATAGAGTTCCTGCAAATCAATAAGCAAAATTAATTAGCAATTAAAAAAAAGAGGCAAAGGACATGAAAAGCTAATTTTCAATGATGAAATACAAATGGATTATATTAGTCCACTCATGTTGCCATAACAAAATACAATAGATAGGATAGATTAAATAAAATAATTTTGTGAGAAAATAATTTTCTCACAATTCTGGAAGCAGGAAGTCCAAGATCAGTGTGTCAGCATGGTCAGATTCTGATGAAGATTCTCTTTCTGCATTGAAGACAGACCTTCTTCTGTATCCTCATATGAAAAGGAGAAAGAGAGAGAGAGAGAGAGAGAGAGGGAGAGGGAGGGAGAGGGATTATTCATATGAGGCCATAGCTCTATTCTATTAGGGCCCTACCCTTATAATCTCATTTAACCAAAATTACTTTCTAAAGACTATATCTCCAAATAAATTGGGGGTCAGCACTTCTACATGAAATTTTTAGAGAAACACAATTCAACACATATCCATGAATAATAAATATTTGGAAATACATTCATTCTTATATGAAAATAAAAATACATATCAAATAATAAATATAATGTTCAACCACTATATTATCAAAAATTAGTAGAATTCATTTATAATAGCCACAGTTATCAAAAGCTTGGAGAATAAGCAATTTCTTTCATCATTGGAATAATAAAATAATGCAAATTTTTTGTAGAATAAGAGGAAACTATATATAAAAATCTAAAATTTTATTTCATTAAACTCAAGAATTTTGCTTATCACAACTTATGGAAATGGTTGCAGAATAATAAAAACACCCTGGTGGTTCAGGAGGCTGAGGCAGGAGGATCTCAATTGAAAGCCAGCCTCAGCAATGTAGTGAGACCCTGTCTCAAAATAAAAAAGTAAAAAAGAGGGCTGGGATGTGGCTCAGTGCCCTGGGGTTTAATCCCTGGTATCAAAAATAAAAGTAAATAAAAAAGAAAAATATACTTCTAAAGAATATTCTACATGTTATTGATTGTAAATGCAGAAAATCTAGAAACAGTTTAAATTCTAAAAAAAGGCATATGGCTAAATAAATTTTTATTTACTTGTAAATTAACACTGGGCAATCAATAAAATGGAAAACATAAGATTTTAGATATTTGACAGGTTAAAAAATCTACCTACCATGTACTGTGTAAATAACAACCATGACATAACATACCCCTATTGATACAACATATGCATAAACATATTTATATTGATATAAAGATACACAACATGTTTAAGTATGTATTAAAAAATTAAAAGAATAGGCACCAAATATTTTTTAAGAATTTAACCTTTATTTATTTGTCTATTATTATTTTTTATGTGGTGCTGAGTATTGAACCCACGGCCTCACCTGTGCTAGGCAAGTGCTCTTCCACTGAGCCACAACTCCAACACAATCACCAAATTTTTAACAGTGGTTATTATGAAGAGTGGGGGCAGAAAAAGTAAAAGTTTTGATTTTCTACTGTTAAGATTTTGTTTTCATTTTCATGAGTGCAATTCCTAATCAAAAAAATTTAAAGTCAACGGATATTTCCATTTTGAAAAAAAAAAAGAGAAATCCCTAAGGAAATATAAACTCTCCACAGTTAAGCACCCCAGAATCTTGCAGTGTTGACAGGCTAGTGGAAATCAATGTCTCAATTCATACTGTACTGGATCTAGGTCACTGTGTGACCTTGTGTGAAAACAGGTGGTGGGAGCTGCTTTGGGGGAGCTTAATGGAAGGGTATGCTGATTCTTGGCACTAGGCTGTGACTTGTTATGTTCCAGTTTAGAGACAATCTTTGCTGGTGCTTTTGGGGACCTTAGCAAAATAAATAAACAAAAGATTCTTCCTGCAGGACCAAGAACCTCCCAAGATACAGATATCTTGGGTTCCCTTTTATCTGGACTAGGAAGAGTTCAGAGGACCAAATGGCAAGTACCCAGGGCTCTGGTCCAGGACTGTATACTACCATCAGGTAAAGCATCCTTGGGGAGCAAGAATATTACTTCCTAATAAAAGTCATCTTGTTCAAGACTCTAGGAGGGACTACTCCCATGGTTTCTACCTTCCTGAGACACCCTTCATGACAGTGCTCGCTTTCCGGTGAGCACCTTCCACAGAGCGCCCTGCACATCGGGATTCCTGAGACTGTAGATGAGTGGGTTCAGCATGGGGCTGACAACAGTGTTAAGGATGCCAATGCCCTTGTCCTTGTCTGAAGGCTCCACTGAACCCAGACGCATGTAGCTGAAGACACCTGTCCCATAGAAGATGCCCACCACTGTGAGGTGGGAGCCACACGTGGAGAAGGCCTTCTTCCTGCCCTCAGCAGAACGGATTCTCAGGACTGCAGCTGCCACATGGACATAGGAGGTGACGATGAGAATCACAGGTGCACCTGCCATGAGGATACCCAGACCAAATAGCAGCAGCTCATTGAGCTGGGTGCTGGAACAGGAGAGCTGGAAGAGCTGGGGGAGGTCACAGTAGAAGTGATTGATCACATTGGGGCCACAGAAGTTGAGTGTGGATATGGCCACAGTATGGGTCAGTGCATTGGTGAAGGCACAAGCCCAGGACACAGCCACCAGTATCCTCTGAACTGTCTGGCTCATGCAGGTGCTGTAGGTAAGGGGCCGGCAAATGGCCAGGAATCGGTCATAGGCCATGGCTGTCAACAAGAAGCAGTCCACACCAGCCAACAGATGGAAGAAGAAGAGCTGTGTAAGGCAGGCTCCATATAAAACTGTATGCTTGTGGGACAAGAGACGACTCAACATTGAAGGAACAGTGACAGTGATGCACCCAACATCCAACACTGACAGATTCCCCAGGAAGAAGTACATGGGGGTGTGGAGTTTAGGCTCCACCAAGATGGCTGCCAGGATGCTGAGGTTTCCCCCGATTGTGACCAGGTAGGCAAAGAAGAAGAGCACAAAGACAACTGGTCGCAGCCCAGGTGTCTCCACCAAGCCCAATAGAATAAACTCAGTCACTGCAGTTCTATTGGCTCCAGGTAATGAGCCCCTGTAATAAGACATTCCAGAGTGGAAGGGATGAGCCTCGATTATTTAGTTAGTCAATAAAAAATATATTGACCTACTTACACTTGCTGCTCCAGGCAAAACCCCCAAATTCCCTAGTGAGTATTTCTCACTCTTCAGGCCACACCTCACTTATTGTCCATGTTCTGCTTTCACCATAGTATCCTTACCTGACTTCCATGTGCATTGCCCAATGCCACCACTACCTTGGACTTCTTTCTTCTCAAAAGGTATTTAAGTCCTTTCTCACTTTGTTCCCTGGAGTAAATGAATGAGGTCCTTCTATCAAGGTCCTACATGAGATCTGAGGGAAAATTATGCTAAAAGTAAAAAAGAACAGAACACATGAATTGATCATAAATCATTACAAATCTATTAGAAATAAAATAAAACAAACCTCTAGCAAATATAAAGAAGAAAAAAATAAAATATATAAAATTAGTAATCAGAAAGTCACAGTATTCATTGATGAAAAAGAAATTTAAATAATCATGGAACACTATCTGCTCCTAAATTTGGACAAATGATTGATTCTTCAACCATCAGAACCATTCCCAAATGAAATAAACCAATAAATAAATAAATTAAAAGAAAGAAACAATAACAACAAAACATGGTCAGAAATGTACTTCCAAATGTGCAGGCTCCAGTTTTATTCCATTTATATGCAAATTATTTTAAATTTGTCAATATAAAGAGAATGTCTACATCATGGACACCTTCTGTAGCTTAGAAATAAAGAGAGCCTTCCCATTCATTTTTCGTCATTACCAAATCCTGATACTAAAATGTAACAATGATAAAAAGTGGAATTATTCTATCCTACCCTCATTTGGCTAGATGTATGCGAAAACCCTAAGTACAACAAATTAAGCCTATCATAATCAAATTTTATAGAAAAAAGAGAATAATTTAACGTTAGTAAATTTACCAACATATCATATTATTAGATTAAAAGAGGAAATCTTTCTAAAAGGCAATTCATAAGTGTCTACATCCATTTGTAATGTAGGGGAAAAAAAGTAAACACTTCTATAGCTCCATGGAATGGAAATATGTAATTTATATGACTTTATATAATAGGAAATGACCACTGAAAGCCTGTATCCCTCCTAAAGGTAAAATAAAAGTGATATTTCTATTAAAATCAGGAGCAAGAGAGCCCTGGTCTTCATTACTACAAATATTTTTCATTATCCTAAAAGTTTCAGGCAAAGAGACACAAGAAGTTTAAACATTAGAGGAGAAAGAAGAGAATAATTGGAAATGACAAAGTTGTCTAAATGAAAACCCAAGAGAGGGACAAACAAACAAACCTAGGAAATAGAATTGTCAAGAAATTGGCAAGTCAGATAAAAAGTAATTATACACAAGCCAGTAGATTTGTGAAACACTGATAATAATTAGTTAGAAAACTGGAACATTCTAATTCATAGTAGATAATATCTTCTGACATAAAATTAAGAGTACGTAGGAAATAAGTTTATACCTGAAGTATGGACACAGGAGCCTAGAAAATGGCAGGAAGGAAATAACTATGGATTCCACCAACAGTGGGAACACGGGAGCTTCTCAGCTCCTCCTTTTCTGTTTTCCCTCAGGTGATCTACAGTGAATTGGATTCTTTTTATAATCATATATATTTTATATCAATATAATTGCATATTTTGGTTCCTTAAGATTACAGAGTTCCTTAATGGGCAAAGATATAGTGGTTCAATGATTGCTTTGTTGATTCTCCTACAGATTAAATAAAAGTGTACAATGCTACATATATTTGCTTCGTAGCTCTATGAAATAATAAAATAAAATTTAATTCATTATGTTCTCTTCACAGAAAGTCTGCTAATAACAAATCAACTAACTAGTTTATCAGTTTCCACCAAAATTAACTACTGTGGTGTCCATCAATGGAAGCTGAAAGCCTGTTTTACTTTATTCTTGTGTGCATGCTTTACCATACTTTGTTTTCTTTGATGGATCTTTCAAAATTTAGTAACTAGATAATATTTTTGGTGCCCATGAGTATTTAGATCATTTTAAGAATATAGCTAAAACCCTCATAGATAAAAATAACCAAAGGATGTGAGCTCTGAAACTTTCATTGCCACGATCTAGAGATAATGAAAATAAATTCCTGATCATTATAAAATACATGGTGTTAATTTCCTACTGGTAATGTAGACCTCCAGTTACTATGGGGATGCCACATCTAGGGTCATATTTTCTGGAATCCATTGGCATAGAGTACCAGTTTGAACAGTTTCTACACACAACAGTGTCCTTGCTAGTGCCCATAACTATATTCAGTATACCCCATGACATTGGTCCCATGGACACTGGCTTAAGTTAATTGGGATCTTGGAGACTATCTATTCCTTATTTCACCAATAAGGAGACTAATGTGGAACACAATTGAGGTGGAATTATAGGGTTTAGAGTGAAGAAATTTAATCCACTATGTTCTCTTCACAGAGATCTGTACCTATGAGATGTACCTATGAGATCTCTGGTTTTATATTTTCCAAAATAGTACCCATTGATAAGCCTACTCACTTTACGTTTGTTAACCCCCAAATAACTAGGAGGCCATCAGATGAGAGGCCATTAGATAAGAGTATCTAATTGAGGACCCCAAAGGCACTTCCTGATACCTAAGGAAGCATTAGAAAATCCATCAAACATACACAGAAGAATGAAACTACATCCTTGTCTCTCATCAAAAATCAACTTAAAGTGGAACAAAAACCTAAATGTAAGACATGACACTAAGAAATTCTAGAAGAAAATATATGGGAAACACTTCAAGATATTGATATAAGCAAAGACTTTCGGATGTGACCCCAAAAGGACAGACAACAAAAGTAAAAATAGACAAATGGAATTGTATCAAAATAAGAAGCTTCTGCACAGAAGAAAAATAAAGAAAAAACAATCAACAGAGTGAAGAGAAAACCAACAGAATGCAAGAAAAGTTTTGCAAACTATTCATCTGACAATGGATTAATATCCAGAATATATAAATAGCTTAAACAACTCAACAGGGAAAAAAACCCAATAATCTGATTTTAAAATGGGTAAATGATCTGGACAGACAGTTCTCAAGACACACAAATGTCCAACAAGAATGTAACATAAACAGTCCATTCTTGGCCATCTGATGTGTAGGCGACTTCTTATAGGTGAGACATTTGATATAGTGTTTCCTAAACTTTCCTAAAAATCCTTAATCTTGTCTGAAACTGTTTAACTGGAATATCCTCTTGCTTCCTCCAGGCTCTCAAATCCTTTGACTCAACTAAAGTGTTCCTCCTCTGCTGAAGTTTTCATGATTTTTCCCCATCTCAGGCTCCTTCCACTAAACTCCCACTACACTTGAGTTGAATACTTCACAGCTCTTATCTCTGTTAACCCCTTGCAGGGTCATTCCTCTATAGGACACACCTCTTCTACACTCTGGCTTCAGAGAAATGTATGCCTGATTCAGCTTTGCATTCTCAATGCCTGCCACTGTACTTTGCATATATAAGGTGTTTGATATTTCTGAAATAAATGAGCGAGTGAACTTAGAAACCAAGACCATAAGATCAACAAGATCAGTGGGAGAGAACATAAGGTTGGGCTGTAGATGTTGGGAAAGTTTTTTTTTTTTTTTTTATGAGCTGGAGTTTATGCAAGACGATGAAAAATTGATATGGTTTTACAGCATAGGTTTAAGTCTAAGGCACAGATGTACTGCTGTAGGAAATTCAGCTCCCTTTGTCTAGATGGGGGCATTTCTAAGGACTCATTTGGGAGCAGTTAAATCTATCCATTGATATGACATTTGCCTTTTCACAAAAACAGCCCCAAAAGATTTGGCAATAAGGGGTAGGCCCTGTGAATTAAAAAAAAATTATATATATATATATATATATATATATATATATATATATATGCCAAAAAACCCCCCACACACTTCAGAAAGAAGCTGTATGATTCTTACTCTGTTGAGGTGAAACTTGTCTTTACCAAGAATCTAGGATGAGCATCATCTATGCACCTAAGACAGTGATGGCCTTGAGTAAAGAAATCCTCCTAGATTAACATTCCTAGGTGGCTAGCATGAGCTTCAGGCCACCCTTATACAACATTCATGGTCCTGTGCTCTGACATTTCAACAAAGCCCTTTATCATTTGATGTGGCCTTCTGATGCAGGCTTCTGGTTCCAGGTTGCTTCCTGAGGAATGGGTCCAGGCAGAAGGCCGTATGCTCTGAATTCCCTCATAAATCCAATAGATTATGTATCTGTTTCCATCCAAAGACTTTGTCAAGGCAGACAGAGTGCCCTGACATAGGAGGGTCCCAGCACTTTCTCTCTTTTGATGTGTTTCCCTGAGCAAGACTCTCCCTACTAAATCCTCTGTGAAATGAGAGGTTTGGCTCACTTGGGAACACCCTGGGTGCCTCAAGTTGCTGGAGAGTACTCACCTTGTTACAGGTGTGATAGCCAGCAAGGTTTCTGCAGGAGGGAAATGAAGAATTTGAGGCACTGTTCAGGCCCTAGCCCCAGAGAACAAGGAAGGACCATATATAAGAGAATAAAAGAGAGATGAGATCATCCTGTCATGGAGCTCCATCTTCTGCAATGTTATGCTCTGGGGACCTCAGAAATTAGCCCCCCAGGAAGGAAAGGACCTTGGGGAGCCACAAACATATAAACAATCCAAGCATTTAATGAACCGAATAATGATTTTGTGATGCTTTTGATTGTTCTTAAAATTTTTTCACACCCATTCCCTACTCCACCTCTCATATTAGTTCCATGGGCAAATAGACGGTCATTAAGACATTTATTACACAAGGATAATGAAGCCCAGAGAGTTTATTCATCGTTCTAAAATCACCCATGGAGTTAATGGTGGTGCGAAAGCCAGATCAGAGTCCCCAGACCAAACAGTTTGTTTCTCCAGATTCCTGGCCCAGTGAGAGCAACTCCCAGGCTTGCCTTGCCCTG